TCTTTATATATCAGAATAGGATAGATTAATAAAATACAATAAATATAATATGCATTTAATGATGCAAGTGGTTGATGTCACAGATTTTAATAGTAAATGTGAGTGTAACATATGTCCTTGTATATTAAATACTAGCAAAATGATAATGCATAGATGGAAATATGTCTGGCTTTTAGGAATGCTAAGAGTCTTTTCTGTAACTGGGATACACACAAGACTAAAAATAACAATGCTTTACATTGCCAGAATACTCAACAGTTTGCAAAATGCTTGAATATCTGTGATATTATTTGATCCTCACAAGAAGATAGAGAAACACAGTTAAGGAAATTACATGCATCACTCTTTTGTGAAACAATTCTAGTGGCTTATGAAATATAACAGCTCTCAAAAAGATTTCTAGTCTGTCATTAACAGTAACAATTCAACTGACAGCACAGAAGGAGATAGGAAAGATATACTCTACAATAAGAAAAATGGAATGGAGGAATATATAATGGCAACTCTCATTTACTGTGATAAAGACAGACATATTATTCAACCTGAGACAGTTACAGAATATGATTCTAAAGGATAAGTAATGAGATACCGGAAATGAGTAATGAGACTCCAGCTTTGGACTCAAGCTAGCTTCGGCTCACTCCAGAGGAATTATTACCATACTTAACATTTCTACTGCACAGTATTGATCGTACTAATGCCATTCTGAAGGAGCTGTGGCTCTGGGGATTCAGAGCAGATATCGGGAAGAATTCAAAAGGCCCAAGAGCAGCAAACTGGTGGGGGCAGATACCATGTGGGCTATCGGGCCAGCTGAGAGCTTCTCCTTATGACATAATGCATCTTGCTCTCTCGTATGCTTGCTCTCCAAGAATGTTGTCACTGGGTATCCTGCTGGAGAGTTTGATGAGCTACCCTGGAAATGATATTTCTATTTAAACAGAAATCCATCTTTTAAACAAGTGATACATTTTAGAGTATTTTATTATTTTCCTTCCCTTTTTCCCTTTTTTCTCACAGAAGTAATACATATCCCTTATTTAAAATTTTGCAAACATTATAGAAATATGTGAAAATGTGGCTTTGGTCAGAATTTTACTTACTAAGGCAGAAAGCAGAAGAGATACAGACAGAACACTCACCTCCACCTTTCTGTCAAAGTGGCCTCTGTTAATAATTTAGTGTAAGGTCCAGATTTTTTCTACGCACACACTTAATCTGGCAATAACATTTAAAGATCTCTGCACCATATATATATATATATATATATATATTTTTTTTTTTTTTTTTTTCTTTTAGACAGAGTCTCACTCCGTCACCCAGGCTAGAGTGCAATGGCACGATCTCAGCTCACTGCAATCTCTGCCTCCTGGGTTCAAGCAATTCTCATGCCTCGGCCTCCTGAGTAGCTGGGATTACAGACACCACCACCATGCTTGGCTAATTTTTGTATTTTTAGTAGAGATGGGGTTTCACCCTGTTGGTCAGGCTGGTCTCAAACTCCTGACCTCAGGTGATCTGCCTGCCTCAGCCTTCCAAAGTTCTGGGATTACTGGCATGAGTCACCGCGCCCAGCCTATACTTTTGACAACTATCTTACATCAAGCAGGAGTGAGAATGATTTGACCCTTATCAGATTTTAAAAATAAGTCAGCCTCATACATTAAACATGGAGAGATTGAAGATCTGAAGAAATGTTTTAAAAAGTGATGGGGAAAAAGTCCAACAGAGTTCGAAACCAGCTAGAGCTCAGGCTATCCAAATTCTGGGAACTGTAAAGCTAACAGGTTTCTAGCTGTCAAAATTTGAAATAGAATCTACAGGAGCCAGCAAGTTTGAAGTAAGAATGTGGTCAAATGCGTCCCTGGGATGAACTTTCGGCTGACTAAAACAAACACCAAAATAGCAACAGCATCCGTCTCAGATAAACCTGCTTTCCCAGCAGCCTCCTTTGCTTGCAAGAGATTTCCATTACATTTTTCTAGAAGAGCACCGTGCTTCCATGGAAACATCAGTCCTGCTGCTGCTGCATGAAGCACCAAAGCTCTGTGACTTTCTAATCTCTGGTTTCCACGCTTGGAAATGCTGCCCTGCTGTTACAGAACTCAAGCCCCTATCTTGCAAAGAAACTGTGCGTGGAAGGTCTGAAACTCTCCGGTTTGGAGCTTGCGTGATATCTTTCTATAGAAATGAGTCTAGGCGGGATTGTGGAATTCTTAGAGCAGTACAGTTAATCAAATTGTACCCAAAGTACCCAACTGGGTGTCCTGTAGAGATATGAGACCTTGAGAAACATTGTCTTTTATTTTTTTGAGACGGAGTCTCACTCTGTCACCCAGGCTGGAGGTAGCCCGATCTTGGCTCACTGTAACCTCCACCTCCTGGGTTCAAGCGATTCTTCTACCTCAGCCTCCCAAGTAGCTGGGACTACAGACACGTGCCACTCCACCTGGCTATTTTTTATACTTTTAGTAGAGATAGGGTTTCACTATATTGGCCAGGCTGGTCTTGAACTCCTGACCTCATGATCTGCCCACCTCGGCCTCTGAAAGTGCTGGGATTACAGGCGTGAGCCACCCTGACTGGCCCAGGAAACATTATTTTTAAAAAATGTTTTCTTTCAGCATTCCAACTTGGGATGCCTGAAATTTGGTCTTATCTCGGAGCCCGGGACTTCCCGTCCTAGTGCATGGCAGGCTTCCAAGGCTCTGGAAACACCATCTCCCAGGATCTAGCACAGAGTAAGTCACAGGGTAGGTGCTGGGGGCTAGTGAGAAATGGCGTCGAAATACTCTCCACAAACAGGTCTCGACCAAGGAGCTCACCTCAAAATGCAAATTGCTCACCTAAGGCTGAAGTGTAAACCATTGGTTTGTGTGAGTCGCCTTTTCAGCCCTGTGTATATTTGGAAAACAAGCTTTCAAGTAGAAAACATAAAGATTTTCTTTTACTTTGGGGATTTCGAAAGAAGGTAGAGGTTTGTGAGCTGCAGCGTCCAGAACAAAACAGACACCAGCCTCCGAGGACGCGGTTACTTTCAATGGAGGTGGGCTTCACAATGCAGGACTCTGTACTTCCCTAGATTTAAAGATCTATCATTTCCCTTCTGTTCCTTACTGTAAATAGTGATAAACCTTTAAATATTATTATTATTATTTTGAGACAGAGTCTTGCTCTGTCACCCAGGCTGGAGTGCAGCAGTGCAATCTTGGCTCACTGCAGCCTCTGCCTCCTGGGTTCAAGCGATTCTCCTGCCTCAGCCTCCTGAGTAGCTGAAATTACAGGTGCCGCCATCACACTCGGCTAATTGTTGTGTTTTTAGTAGAGACAGGGTTTTGCTGTGTTGGCCAGGATGGTCTCAAACTCCTGACCTCAAATGATCTGCCCTCCTCAACCTCCCAAAGCGCTGGGATTACAGGTTTGAGCCACTGCACCCAGCCTAAACCTTAAAATAAAAAAGTTTCTGTCCTTTTCTAGGGGGATAGCAAAAAAAGAAAGTGGAGGAGTCTGCACTTTTTCTCCCTAAGCAGTCTTGGGAAAGCAGATTTCCAAGTGTTGAAGTGCACGGTGTGGATTTTAAGAGGTGTTATCGTGAGAGGAAGACACAGAGAAGACGTTCTCAAAGTGGAACCAGTGGCAACAGCATCACCTGGGAACATACACACTCTCAGGCCCCACTGAGCCACAGGCTCTGGGAATGGGGCCCAGTAAGCTGAGTGCAATACATCTTCCAGGTGATCCCAATATTCAAGCTCACGCTTGAGGATCACTGGCACAGTGGGTAAGGAAGGACCTGCTTTTAAATCCTGTCTCTGCCACTTAACAGCTGTGTGAGCTTGAGCAAGGCAGTCTTTCTGAGTTTCTGGAGAGGAATAAGTGAGATAACGTACCTGAAGCACTTAGTGCAATGTCAGATACATAGAAAGCGCTCCGTATATGTTAGCGGCTATGGTCACTATTATGTATGAGGGAGAGGAAAAAGGAAAGGTCCTCCAACAAATTAGCACAGCATTTACCAGCTTAAACGCCCTTTCAGATACTGACATTGTGTTTCCAGGAAATCCAAAGGTCACATACATTCTGTGTGATCTCATCCACACAAAAATTGGAACAGAGCAGTCGTTCTTTATCATCAGAACCCCCACAGAGCTTTTACATTCTGCCCTGCCGCCCACCAGCCTTCAGAGCCGTAATCTCCTGTGGCAGACCCTGGTCAGCCATCATTTTAAAAAATCCCCATAGGCAATGCTGCAGAACAGCAGCTGGAATCAAAGGTGGTAATAGTTAGAGCTAACATGTATTGAATATTTATGTGTGCCAGGCACTGTGCTAACTTCTTTATAGATGTTGCTTCATTTCATTCTCACAGCAATCCTGTGAGATGGGTACTATTAGTTTTGGGGCAGGGTTGCGGGGGTGGAGTTTTGCTCTAGTTGCCCAGGCTGGAGTGCAGTGGCCCGATCTTGGCTCCTTGAAATCGCTGCCTCCCGAGTTCAAGCGATTCTCCTGCCTCAGCCTCTGGAGTAGCTGGGATTACAGGCACGCACCACCAGGTCCCGCTAATTTTTGTATTTTTAGTAGAAATGGAATTTCACCATGTTGGCCAGGCTGGTCTCGAATGCCTGATCTCAGGTGATCCGCCTGCCTCAGTCTCCCAAAGTGCTGGGATTACTGTACAGGTGTGAGCCGTCGCCCAGGCCTACTATCCGTTTTAAATTTTACACATGAGGAAACTGAGATACAGAGGGGCTAAGTAACCCCAAGTTCACACACCTGAGAAGCGGTTTAGACCCTGAGCCAGGTTTGAGCTATTCACTGCACTTCACTGATGCAAAAACAGATGCATTCATTTACCCATTCATCCAGCATGCATTTGTTGTTCGTGGCCAGGGAATACCTGAAAGCTGGGGGATATAAACTGAGCAGAGTCCCATCTCCATCCTCAGGAAGCTCATGCCCTCCAGGGATGGGTGGGCGGGACAAATAGCAGAGAGATCGCCTTATTTTAAAAGATGAGGCTGTAAAGATTTTCCATGGCCACTAGCCTCCTCCTCTCCATGGCCATTTACAGAATGGGCAGACCAGACTGAAGACCAGGCCTGCTAGCGATCAACGCTCCCGGCAACTCTGCAGGCCCTTCCAGCGGGCCTCGCTCTCCTCGCGGGCGTGGTAGCTTCATTCGGTCATCCCCTGAGTATTCCACTTCCCGAGGGAGGCCCTCGCCAAAGAGCCGGGCGGCTGGCTCTCCTCCAGGGAGAAACCCTGTCACTTACACTTTTCCTCATCGCTGTTAGGAAGTTTCCCAGAAAAGTACAGACAAGACTGAGGCCTGCGTTTTAGAATCGTGGAATGTTAGCGTTGGCCAAATCGTTGGACATAACGTAAGCTTGGTCGGGAAAATGAGCTCCAGGTCTCACAGCAGGCGGGGCCTGGAATCCGGACGCAATCCGCGACCCTCACTGCCTCCTATGGTCGGGGCTGAGCGTTCTTTCAAAGTAATCACTTAAGTCCAGCAATGATCACATTGGAGAAAGCAAGTGATCCTCCCTGGGAGACGGCCTGGGAGGGCAGCGCCCCGGAGCTGGGCACACACCACGTCTTCCCCGCCCCGGCCCGGGAGGAGGGTTTGGGGACAGAGGCCTCACCCCGGACTCTTCTTCAGGTTGCACTGGAGGAGGCGGTGCGGAACCTTTCTCTTCCGTCTCGCTCTCGCTTCCACCCGGGCCCCATTGGGGCCGGACGCGATAGAGACGACCTAAGCATGGAGAGAGCGGGCGCTGGGACTGGGCAGCCAGTTTCTCGGCTGGAGGCTCCGGGGTCCATGGATGACCGGCTTTTCCTGGTTAAAGGTAAGGTGTGCTGTGGTGAGGTGCAAGCGTCGGGGCGAGTTAACCCCGGGCCCTGACTTGCGCTGGAGCGGGCATTCCCACACCCATCCCGCTCTGAGTGCCCTTAGCTTGGACTTGCACCTGAGTTTAGCCCGCGGAGTCGGGCGCCCCGGGACGGGTAAGTCGCTTGCTGGGTGGAGCCTCCTCTTGGGCGGGGCAGGGGGCAGATCCCGCGAGCTGTTGCTATCCCTGGCGTGCCATATTTCCCCTTCACCTCTGCAGTTGTTCTCGAGCCTTGCCTTTTCTGATTGCCACCGTCTCTCTTTTCCTCCCTGTGAGAAACTTCACACCGTGGTCCCCTGGGGAGAGGTGAAGGGAACCTGAGCCTGTTCTCTGCGCTTGGGAATAATAACTCGGAATGACCCCAGGAACCAGAGGTCGTGAGCTCACGCGGGTTTCTCAGCCACTGTCATTTACTGTTAGCGAGAGCTGCTTAGCCATGGTTTCTTGAATTTCAAAAAGTGATTTTGATTGTAACTCGAATAGTATCTTAAACTTACTTTTGTACATCTTTTTAACTTCTTTTTATTTAATTTTTTAAATATCCCCCCTCCTCCCCGAAACTCTTTGCAGGTGGAATTTTCCTTGGTACTGTTGCTGCAGCGGGAATGCTTGCAGGTTTTATTACAACGTTATCATTGACGAAAAAGAAAAGCCCTGAATGGTTCAATAAGGTTGGTGACACTGAAATCCATTCATAGCATTGTTGTTGTTTACAATATATGGCAGCTTTTGCATAGAAAAAATAAGGAAAATATTGATGGCCTTTCACATTGCTTTAAGATGTGAATTTATATACGCTCATGGATTCTAGAAATATACAAATTAACCAACGGTCTTTATTTTCATTTAGAAAAATATGTGCTTTCTTAAATTTTAGCAGAACAAGACTGAAAGCTTATCTGGTACATTTCCTATTCACAACATGACTTTAAATCTAAATCTGGGCCAGTCGTCTGGTTGACGCCTGTAATTCCAACACTTCAGGAGGCCAAGAGGGGCGGATCACCTGAGGTCAGGAATTTAAGACCAGCCTGGCCAACAATGCGAAAACCCATCTCTACTAAAAATACAAAAATAGCCAGGTAGCCGACCATGGTGGCACAGTCCTGTAGTCCCAGCTACTTGGGAGGCCTAGTCAGTAGAATCACCTGAACCTAGGAGGCTGAGGTTGTAGTGAGCCCAGATCCCACCACTGCACTTCAGCATGGGCGACAGAGTAAGACTCTGTATCAAAAATAAATATTCACACAAATAACTGTGTAATTACAATTTGATGTGTGCTGTGGAGGAAAGTGTTATGTAAAACAAAACAGTCAAGTTTCCTTTCCACTTACATTTATCTTTAATAATCATACTTAAGCCTTATTGATACTGTAATGGCAAGAGACCGCCTTTAAGGTGTGCTTGGATCACCTTTGAATGGTCTAAGCTTAGTTGGAGCTTCCTAAATCACTGCTATGGACCTTGTGGATCGTTTCTTCTCTATGTTATAGAATGTTTTTCAGAGCAGAAATGATATTTTGTGGCGGAAATCAGTAGTGCTTTAACAGTAGAGTTTTGGTTGATTTCTAAGCCTAAGTTATCATGTTAATCCTTGGCTCACTGATCCGTTTTAATAATCTGATGAAAACCAGGGATTCTCAGGGGCTGGGGGAGCACATACACATATTCACAACTTTCCATCCTATTTTGTTGTTCTGAGATTTGATCATCACAGATGCCCTTCAGGGTCTAACAGTGGTTTTCAAACCGTGGTCCACAGAAACCTGCTAATCCTTGATCCTTGGGTCCATGAAGTCATACTATTTTCGTAAAGATACGAAGATGCTTGTGCTAATGGTACAGAGGCAATGGAGAGTAAAACTGCTGATACCTTGGTATAACCAAGGCAGTAGCTCCAAACTGTGCTGGAAGTCATTGTGTT